GGTGTATTATGGGAAGACGCCACCGAAACGTGGGGATTTAAAATTAGGGGTGCTTCGACTACTCCCTACTTCCCCCATTCTTTCGAAATACAGGAAAGAAGAAAGGCGCCAGAAGCCATTTAAAGGCGGGAGCGCCTTCTTTTTAACGTAATTTGGCTTTCTTTCCCGAATAACCAGCTTCGCTGTCCTGTTCCTTTCCTCCCCTCCACCACACCCACCCAATAGCTCGTCGGGAAGGACCCCGGATACCTACCAACCAAACCTCAAAGGCAGCTCCCGCTCGGCCGCAGGCAGAAATAAGAACACGCTCGAAACCCCGCCCCCTCCCTTTCGTGGGGCGTGCTCTGAGCCCGCCCTCCGCCCAATCGCGAAGCAAATTTTCTAGAGCCGAGGGGTGGGGGAGGGTAAAGGCCGAAGTTGCTCCGTCAGGGTCGTAGGCGCGCCTGCGTGTCGCAGTTTTCGACGTGTCTATTAGAGAGGGGGGGGAAAAATCCGGGGGAAGGGACGCTTTCATTAGGAAGTATGGGAGAGGGGAAGGAAGTAGTTGCGCTACGAAATGCGTCGGACTACAGCTCCCATGACCACTAGCGAGGATGGCTCACTGTCCCCCCCTCACGGGGTTTAGAGGGATTACAAGCGTGCAAGAGGCTCTGATGGCGGGGTTGTTTTGCTCTTGTTTTTCCTCAAAAGGCTGAGCGAATTCCCTATTTTCCTTTTCCAGACAAATTTATCCTTTTCGCTCACGCGCTATTTTTTTTTAATTGTTTAAGATCCTCCTTCCTTGCCTTTTAGTCATTGCTGCCGTTTCCTTTCTTAGATACACTAAAGTGCTTTCGGAGAAACGACTGGTAGAATTGCCAATTCAAGAGCAGCGTTCGGCTGCACTCTGAGCGCCTCCGTTCTCATCCCGATTGGAGTTACGCAGAGTATAAATGCCTGGTTTTGCTTCGTGGCTTTTGCAGCGCAAGGCGTGGAGGTGCAAAAGCCACACGTCTCGTTTTAGTTGACGCTCTGAACTTCTGCAGTTTTTCTCCTAACCGCTAGAAAACCACCAGATTTGACATGAACTGTTTTTTTCTGCTGTGCTCTTGACACGTAGGATAGTATCCAAGCTGAAACAGGAAGTAAATTAGGAAGAATTTATGATATGTTGTTTTTTTCTATCTCGCTTCCTGCCCCCCTATTCGGAATCGAAAGTCCGTTTGGCTCTTTAAAGGGATTAAGAGAGGATAATTTCCAAAAATGAGGGCAGGAGAAATAAAGTGGAATAAAATGGCACATTTTGGCAACGGTTGGCTCTCCGAGCCTGTTTCAGTTTAGTTTCTGAACGTTTCGTTACCTGAAGCAGGGTTTTCTTGTTCCATTCTCCTTAGCTTATTAAAAAAAAACCAAGCTACAAATATTTTCTATTATTTCAAAATGGCACATTATTTGTATAGATCAATACCTTGCATGTCTATTTCCATAATACGGTGGGGTGGGATTACTTCATTATGTGTGAGGTTTCAGTATGATGGTTACAAGTGTCTCCAGTGTTAAACAGATGCTATTCTTTTAAAGACCAAAAGGGTTTTGCTTTCTGAGAAGCAATTACAGTGCCCACCCCTGCTTTCAAATTGGCATAGGAAGTTAAATTGTGCATCTCTAATTTATTAATAACTAGCTTGATAACCTGGCATTGCCCGGGTATTTATCCCAATCCTCTATTAGGCAGGAAAAGGAATGGATTATATCTATAGTGTCAAATGTAATGTTATTTACAGGGTTTTAAAAGTATAAGTAAAGTATACAAATTATAAAGGAAGCTCTAGGTCAGGGGTGTCAAACTCAAGGCCCAGGGGCCAGATCTGGCCCACTGGGTGCTTAGATTTGGCCCGCGGAGCCATCTTGGAAACAGTGAAGGACTGACCTGTGGTGCATCTGCCAGCGAAAATGGAGTTCCGCTTTCGCTGGCAGAGGTTTGCAAGAGGCTGTCACAGCCAGAAATGGAGTTCAGGAACCCATTTTCGCAGGCAGAGTGCTTGGGCCATCACAGGCAGAGGGTTGCAGGAAGCCGTCACAGCCAAAAATGGAGCTTGGGATGCCACAGGTGCCCCCAACATGAATGACGTTGAGCTGGCCACAGCCCCCCGGCCCCCCAAAGTCAAACACCACCCTGATGCGGCCCTCAGTGAAATTGTGTTTGACACCCCTGATCTAGGTGTTAACAGCTCTATCTCTCTCATAGTGTAGTCAGTCCTCATGCTGTTGTACTGTCTCTAAAGTTCTAGATGTAGTAGCTCTCTTGCACAGCATTGCAAGTCTTCTATTCCTCTCCTTGGGAGTTTCTTGTCTACGCTGGTGTTTCATTTTTGTAGCCTTTGATTGCACTTGGCCAATCGCCTGGTGTTTCCTTGGAGCACAGCATTGTTACAGCAATGAAATATATTATTATGGAATACAATAAAGGAAATGTAAGAAAAAGACACTTGGGCCTGGCCCTGTTACCTCAACCACTGTGGTGAGAATTAGAGACCTAATCCCCTTTACCAGAGGGAGCCCCCTTACGGAGTACTGTGAAGCTGTTACCATGGCAACTCCACTGTCCTGTACAGTAGAAGCCATTTTAAGGCACAACAGGCTGTATCTTAACAGAACTTGAATCCAAATTGCACACTATCACTGTCAAAAGTACTGTGATTTGACACTATAGATATAATTCATTCCTTTTCAGGCGTTCCAGAGTTATGCTGGTATACACACACAGACACACACACAGAGGGGTGTTAGGGGTGTCTTACCCCCACAGTATTTTTTCCAGAGGGTAAGTCATCTGTCTTCACGTTTTGTTGAAATTGCTCAAGACATTCCAGAGTTATGCTGGAACATACACACACACATTTATATATATATATAGAAGATAGAAGAAGATGTATTTACTAGTAGAATGCTGACAAAGAGGCCAATCTAGGTTGCTAGAGGTTGCTCAATGAAAAAGACTTCAGGTTCCTGTTTGCAGCAGATGGCAGCACTCAACATAAGTTCAAAAGGAACAGATTCACAACATTTTCTTCAATGGGAGGCTGGGATAAAATGTAGAAGCCAAGTCACAGGTTGAAGATCCTAATAGGAACCATAAGTATCTTTGGGAAGAGATGAGCACTTCTGTGTCTAGTACATAACACATGGATAATAGTACTTCGTGCTCTGCCCTCTTTCTTCATAGCAACCAATTTTAGGCATATATTTTGAAACTGCCTCCTGAAAGCCCACGTAGTGTTCAAAGTGTCAGATTAGAACCAGGGAGATCTAGTTGTAGCTCACCCTCAGGCACTGGATATTTGGGAGACTGATATTCTCTCTTAACGTGTCTGTCCTACCTTGCAGGGTTATCCCTGTAGGGAAAAGTGCAAAAAAAATAACTTTATATACACAGTCTTCAGTTCTTGCAAGGAAGCTGGATTGTAAATCTAACAAGTAAAAACAGATTCTCTCAGTTGCCATAGCCTGCACAATCACTTAGCTTTTAGAGGATGCTGTATCAAATATTTATTTTTATTTTATTTATTTTAGATGGTTTGTCAATTGCTTACAAGATAATAGGTATAAGTAAAAACATAGTTATGAATACATGGATACATGGATACATATAAGAAAATAGTATCAGAGTAACCAAGCTTGGCAATCACTCAATTTAGAAACACATCTGGAAAAAGCAAGTCATCTATATATTCATAGATAACTTTTAATCAGGCTGTGATTTCTTGGCAAACCTATTGGTGAGTCTTGCTTCAGAACAACTGTTTTGCCCTCTGGCTTTTGGTTATGTAAGGATTCTTATGTATAATAGCCTAAGTATCAACACAACTGTTTGATGAAATACACTGAGTTATGAAATCCCTTTTTGGGAGTCAGAAAAACACCAGCGTTGTGTTGTAAATAATATATTAAAATACAGTATCAGGAGTCAGCACATACTTTGGAATGATAGGTTTTTCTCCTGGACTTTGTAGTGAGATGAATGAGATGGCTTCAGAGCTGTGCTGCTCATATGAGTTTTTGTGGGCTGTTATTTGTTCCTCAGATTCCACAGTGATGACAATCAAAGATTCAATTTTTAACCTCTTTTAATATGTTTAAAACTCTAATTCGTTTAGACAAATTGTTCCTAAAGCTTTTGGACATTTGCATCTTGCAAATAACTGAGTCAGCCACCAGGACACAATTAACAAAAACAAAAAAACCATTCCTCACACACAAGTTTTTGTGTCCCTTTTTATAGTTCTGATGAAATAACACCTTCAGTGTTGTTGTTGAGACAATATTTTTGTGTCTCGGTACAGAGACAACAGTTTCTGCCTTTTGTTAGCTCTACATGGGTTCGATGTAGTAACTGCATTTCTCCAATCTTGCAGAGTAGTAGAGATAGAATGGAGACAACGAGCATTATCACATCTTGATTAGCATGCCGTTTCTTTAGTCTAACGCGATACTGTCATGTGATCCAGCGATCGATCCTGCAAGTAAGCTGTATTTATTCATAGACGCGTTACATATAAATGACCACTAATATACTTGACCCAATGATATGGTATTATAACTACATTCATCTGATAACGTAGTTCTCCATTTTAGTTCATTATTGGGGCGTGGGCGGGGGAATCCGATTCCAACCCTTGCGGTACAATGGATGATTCATAGCAATTCCAAAGCAAACATATTCATTTGCATAAACTACTATAGCACATTTATTTCTTTGAAGGTAAGGGCCATTTATATCCAAGCTTTGCAGAAGCGGACTGAAGCGGGCGGGACTGTTCTCGAAACTTGGCGGGTTTTTTTTGTTTTTGTTTTTTCTCAGAACTGAGAAGTAGAAACCTCGCCCTCTACCGACCACCTGTAGAAACGTCCTCCCTATCTCGTCCTCTCTATGGTCCAAGGGATGGCCGTTCTTCAGTTCCCACCCCCTCTTGTCACTCCGAGGGTTGGGCATCGCGGATTGAGAGGCGACTCCCGGCAAGCGAGCCAGCCCCGCTACAGTTAGCCAGAGGACGCTGCCTTCTTGCTGGGAGAGGAAAAGCAGAAGCCCGAAGCAGAGGCACTGCCTCTCACCGCTTGGGATTATGCCCTTCACCACAGCCAAAGTAGCCACACGGCTGAGCCAAGGGATCACTGCCAAAAGAGCAGCCGTGGCACTGTTGCTGGCAGCATATGGGGCCAGGAAGTTGTACCCCATTCTGCGGAGACAGTGGGCTGCCTCCGTCCTCCAGGTGAATGCAGAGACCGCCAGCCCCAGAGAGACAACTGCAAAGTGGAGGGAACTCGAGGTGGCCACTGCATCAGCACCTGGTGTGAACAAGGTGTTTTTTCTCCGTCTCCTTCGACTCCTGAGGTTGCTGTTCCCAGGGCCACTGTGCCGGCAGACAGGACTCTTGGCCTTGCATTCAGCTGCCCTTGCTAGCCGCACCTTCCTCTCGGTTTATGTGGCCCAGCTGGATGGACGCTTGGCCCGCTGCATTGTCCGTAAGAAACCACGGGACTTTACGTGGCAGCTTCTTCAGTGGCTCCTCATTGCCCTGCCGGCTACCTTTGTCAACAGTGCCATTCGGTACCTGGAAGGGCAGCTGAGCCTGGCCTTCCGTGGACGTTTAGTGGACCATGCCTATCAACTCTACTTTGAGGGTCAGACTTACTACCGGGTCAGCAACATGGATGGACGGTTGCGTAACCCGGACCAGTCGCTCACCGAAGATTTGGTGGCCTTTGCTAATTCTGTAGCCCATCTCTACTCAAACTTGACCAAGCCTGTCCTTGATCTCATTGTGACTTCCTATACCTTGGTCAGTTCAGCAAGATCAAAGGGGGCTGACACAGCCTGGCCCTCATTTATTGCTGGTTTGGTAGTCTGCATCACTGCCAAGGTGCTACGTGCCTGTTCACCAAAGTTTGGCCAACTGGTGGCTGAGGAAGCACGCCGGAAAGGAGAGCTGCGCTACATGCATTCTCGTGTGGTGGCCAATTCGGAAGAGATTGCCTTCTATGGTGGGCATAAGGTAAAGTAGGAGACAGAATGTCAATATTCTTTAGTAGAAAAAGAAGATTTAGGTTTTTAGAAAGAGGAAGTCTGTGGGGTATTTGGACACTTCTGGTTCTGAATGAGGAATAATAACACAGTCTGATTAGAAAAGTAGAGAGAAGATACTGTGTTTTTATTCTCTTTATTTAGTTCTACAGGAGAGGATAGTAATTTACCACCATCTCCTGTAGGATTATGCCAAAATCCCCTGCAGCTAACTCGATTTCAATTCTGCCTTAGGTGAAATGAAGCTGCCCCAAAACAGATTTAGACCAACACCTTGTTTACTTCCTTCCTTTGTTGTCTCCTTGAATATGTCCTGAGGCACATCTAGGGCTCTAACCTTGATTATAATCTAAAATCTGTCCTTGTTGCTAAGTTCAGTCCTTTCCAACTTCCTGTAAAAATATTTCTTGGTTTCTGTTGATCCTACCTAATTCAAACAGTTGAAGTTCAAGACCTTCTAAGTTTGGCACCAGCTTGTCTTTTAAAGTTTCATACATTTCCAGGCCGAGGAGTGAACTGAAGGGCAGTAAATGTGTATGGTGTGGGGAAATTATGATTCCCAAATATAGAAATAAGAAATACCAGCAAGGAATATAGATGTAAATCAAAACTCTTGTTGATAAAGAATGGAAAAAGAAAAGATGTTTTAACACTGAGAAAGAGAATTTGATACTAATAGTCATATCTTTCATATATCTTACTTTTCCCCATTCTTTAGTTCTAATACTGCCGTGCCAGGTGTGTTCCAAGGCCAAACATCTCTTCCTGTAATAACTTCTGTCCATAATTAAGAGTAATTTAAAGTCATATTTACACAAAATGTCAAGCAAATGGAAACAAATGTTTTCTGCCCCTTTCAAGGTTCACCCCCAATTTTTTTTTAAAAAAAGAATCAAAGTGCAACAGTTGCTTTTTCAAGCAAGGGCTCAATAAGGGCGTGCATAAGGGCGTGCATAAGCGCACCAACGTGCCTACCGTCCCTGTCCTATTGTTTCTCCTATTCTTTTATTTTTCTTATATGTACCCATTTCATGTATTCACAACTATGTATACATTTATACTTATTATCTTGTAAACAATTGGCAAATCAAATAAATAAATAAATAAATAATATCCCATGGCCAGCATTAGACATAACGTTTGTTATGTAATAGGTGTCTGCATTGTATCAGCTATTGGATTTTGTAGGTGGCATGGGGAAGTTTAGAAGATTCTTAGAGTCATGTATTTATTCCATAGTTAGTCATTTTTGACTTTTCAGTTAATCTTTGCAGTTTGTATTACCTGTTTGCATATAAAAGCTACAGAAGAAGGACTGTAATTCAGAGTACATGTAAGCATACACTAACCTAATTATTTTTTTAAATATACTTTATTGATTTTACAATTAAAATAGACCAACAACACAAACATAAATTCAAGAATGAAAAAGAAAACAAGAAAAAATAATCTTCAACAGTTTGTGAGACCTCCTTTTTATCCTTATTTTATGCCATATACACAATCCTTACATATATCTGTATATCACTACTATGATTCTATCATATCTTCTTTTGCCTTTTAATGTGAAATCTGTCTTTGGTCTATCCATTTGTACCAGAAGTTCCAGCTGTCGTAATATATTGAATTATCTTTATCTTTTAATGCCAAGGTTAATTTGTCCATTTCTGCACAGCTTGAAATTTTTTGAATAATCATCTCCTCTGATGGAACATGAGGCTGTTTCCAACATTGAGCAAAAGCCAATCTGGCCGCTGTCAAAATATGTATTATTATATATTTCACTTTTTTTGGTAGTTCTTTATCAAAGATCCCTAATAGAAAGGACTCTGGTTTAAATTTGATCTGTTCTCTTGTCATTTCCTCCAGCCAATTTCTAATTTTCTGCCAATATTTTTGAGCTTCTCTACAAGACCACCACATATGGAAGAAAGTTCCCTTTTCTTTTTTTCTTTTTTTGCATTTCCAGCAGTTCGGACTCATATTGGGGTGCATCTTCGCTAATCTCGAAGGAGGAAGGTGCCACCTATAAAACATTTTATAGGCATTTTCTTTGTACGCTACCGATTTTGTGATTTTGTTATTAATACCCCAGACCTTTTCCCATTCTGTTAAGGTAATACTACGTCCTATGTTCCTACTCCAGGCTATCATGTTCCCTTTAACAATTTCTTCCTCTAATTCTACCTCTAATAAATAATTATAAAATTTTGTTATATTTTTTTTTTGCCTGATCCTAGTAAAATTTTATCTAATTGCTGGAATTTATTATTAATTCTAAATTCTTTCTTGTCGTGTTTGTATCTACTTTGAATTTGAAGATATGCCCACCGATCAATTTTTAATTCCTGGTCTTGAAGGTCTTGCCATGATTTCAGATTTCCTTGCGTATCCAATAGGTCCTTATATTTAATCATTTTAGTAATATCCAGATTATTTGGGTGGGTCATTGCCTCCACTGTTGAGATCCAGATTGGTATCTTTAAGTAGTGTTTTTTCCGTATTTTCTTCCAATTAGTCAATAATGAATCGCTAATTAGGTATCTGTGAAAATATTTCTGGCTAGTTTTCCCAATATCCCATAAAAAAGCATGCCACCCCCTCTGTAAGTCATGGCCTTCTAAGAGTAATATTCTCTTATTAGTTAAATTCACCCATTCCTTCAACCATACTAAAGAGGCCGCACTATAATACAACTCCCAATTTGGAAGTGCCAGCCCTCCCCTGCTCTTCATATTCTGCATTGCCTTTAAGTTTATTCTAGGTTTTTTCCCTTGCCAGATGAATTTTGCAGTTATTTTATTAAGTTCTTCAAAAAACTTTTTGTGTACTTTAATTGGAATCATCTGAAATATATAGAGGAATTTTGGAAGAATATTCATTTTAAATAGCAGCAATCCTGCCTAATAATGAAAGTTGCAGTTTGTCCCATGTTTCTAAATCCTTCTTTACCTGTTGCATTAATTTATCATAATGGTTTTCCTTTCGTGTCTTACAATGTGCTGTCAACCATATTCCTAAATATTTAACTTTTTTATCACTTGTACTCCCATAATTTCTTCTAGTTCCAATTTTTGCTTTTCTGTTAAATTTTTAGTCATTAATTTCATTTTCTTCCTATTAATTTTTAGTCCTGCTACTGCTCCAAATTGTTCTAATTCATTCATCAATTTTTGTCCTCTTTCTATTGGTTCTTCAATGAAAAAAATCATATCATCCGCAAACGCTTGCAACTTATATTCTTCTTTCTTAACCTTTAATCCTTTTATGTCTGGGTTCTGTCTAATTCGCATTAGTAATGCTTCTAATGATAATATGAAGAGCAGGGGTGAGAGTGGGCAGCCCTGTCTGACTCCTTTTTCTATTTTTATTGGGCGGGTATATTACCAGTTTATTATAATATTCGCCTGTTGTGTATCATAAATGGTTGTTATAATATTTTCAAATTTGGTGCCTAAATTAATATAATTTTTTTGAATTAAAAATTGCCAATTTAAATTATCGAAGGCCTTCTCTGTGTCTAAAAACATAAGTGCTATTTGTTTTTCAGGGTGGGCTTTGTAAGATTCTAAAACATCTAATACTATTCTTAAATTATTCCTGATTTGTCTGGTCGGGAGAAATCCATTTTGGTCTTCATGTATATGCTCATTTAACATTCTTTTTAGTCTACTTGCTATAATAGAAGTAAATATTTTGTAGTCAGTATTTAGCAAAGAAATCGGCCTATAATTTTGTATATATCGGGGGTCCGAATCCTTTGGGATCAGCAAAATCAACGCCCCCCTCCATGAGTCCGGCATCCTGGCTGCCAATAAGACGTCATTAAAAACTTCCACCATAAGAGGTCCTATTTGTTCTGCTATTGCCTTGTACAGCTCCCCTGGGAACCCATCTGGTCCCAAGGATGTGTTGTTTTTCTGGTTCTCTATTGCTGATTTCAATTCGAACCAAGTAATGTCTTTGTTTAATCATTCATCAATTTCTTCCCCAATTGCTTTATCCTTCATTTCATCTAAATAGTTTCTTATCCTATCTTCGTTAACTTCTTCCTTTTTATATAACTCTTCAAAATATTTATGGGCAATTTCTTTTTTCTATTCTATCCCTTGTTGTATATCCCCCTTTCCATCTATTAGCTGATAAATCAATATTTTTTCTTTCCTTTTTATTAAGTCTATATGATAGCCATCTCCCTGGCTTGTTGGCATGCTCAAAATGAGTTTGTCTAGTTGTATTCAGATTTATAATCATTCTCTCTTGTTCAATTAAATTCAATTTATGTTTAGTTATTGTCTGATTTTGCAATTTTAAATCCTTTGAAGTACTCTGTAATTGAGTTTCTAATTCTTTAATTTTTTGTTGTAATTTGTTTTGCTGGGCATATTTTTCTTTATTCCTCTTGGCGTTATAAGAGATTGTTATACCTCTTATTACTGCCTTCATTGTATCCCAAATGTTTTGTTTCGTAGTTGCTCCATTATCATTTTCCTTCAAAAAATAGTTTAATTCCTCCTTGAGTTCGTTAGTATATTCTTTTTCTCTTATTAACTGAGTATTTAACGTCCATCTTTTCTTGGGTTTTTCCCTACCCTTCCATATTATCTGAATTGGATTGTGGTCTGCCCATTCATTGGGTAGGATTTCAATCCCTTTTATCTCATTTGCTATTTCCCCATTCATCCATGCCATATCAATTTGTGTCCATATTTGATGAGGATTTGAATAGAATGTAAATTGTTTTTTCTCAGGATGTAATCTTCTCCATATATCAATCAAATTTAACTCCTTCATCATTTCCATGCATATTTTGGGAAGCTCTCTCTTTTTCTCTTTGTTCCTTCCCCCATTACTGTGGTCTTTTCATAATCAGCAATAGAATTAAAGTCCCCTATAATACAAATATTTCTTTTTTCCAATCCTACTATTTTTCCATAAAGATGCTTAAAAAACTCTTATTGATCTCCATTTGGGGTGTAGATTACCACTAAGAGAATTGGTATGGCATTAACCCAGATCTGCAAAACCAGAGTTCTTCCCTCAGGATCTGACCATATTAAATCTGCTTTCATATCCTCTTTAACATATACTGCAATCCCTTTCTTTTTCCCCTTGTCTGCTGGTGCGGTGAATAGCTTCCCTAATTTCGGGCATTCTAAGTATTTTTCATCTGATTTCTTTATATGAGTTTCTTGTAGACATACTATATCAGCATTTTGTTTGATTAATTTGGCTATTATCCTTTTCCTTTTTATCATCAAGTTTAAACCATTTATATTAATTGATAATAGTTTCTTTTCTTCTTCTATTTAATTAGTTCTGTTTCACTCTTTGTCTTGTGACTGCTCCGGTCTCTCCTTGTGCCTGAAGATGTGTCCTACTTTCTTCTCTCTCCTGTTGTAATTGAGTATTTCCTTGATTTCCTAAAGTTCTATCTCTGTTCTTATGATAGCCTTGATCTTCCTGGGAGTTCGCTTCCAGTTCATCCTTACTATTCTGGTCTTCCGGGCCTACCAACCATTCATAAAATTCCTGGGCCTTTTCCATGGAATCTATTTTGATTTTCCTCTCGACCCAAGAAACTAACATCCCCTCTGGGATTAGCCATTTAAATACAATTCTTTTCTGATTTAGGTAAGCTGCTAAGAATTTATAATCTCGTCTTTGTTCTCTTACTCTTCTTGGTATTTGTTTGAGAACCAATATTTCTTTGCCTTTATACGTGATTGATTCATCTCTTGACATCCTATATATGATATCCCGGACACTCCTCACAAATCGTATATGGACTTCTCTTGGGCATTTGTGGCGTCTCGCGTAATTAGTGCTAACCCTGTAAACTTCATCAAACTCCCTCAAGATGTCATCTTTATCCTTTTCCAATAATCCAGCCAACATTCCTGCCATTAGTTGTTCCAAGTCTTCTTTTGATTCCACTATATTTTGGAATCTCAAGTATGTAGCAGCCTTATCCATCTCTAGGTAGACGAGTGAGTCCTCCATTTCTTTACTCACATTCTTTAATTGTTCATCTACCCTTTCTAATTTCCTTTCGGTTCTTTCTGCCCTTTTCTCTACCTCTTTTATTGTTACTTAATTTTTCTCCAAGGCCTGCTATAATAATCCAACTTTGTCCTCTACTTTGGAGATATCTGCTTTCATTTCTGCTTTTAGTTTCCCCATCTCCTCTTTTAATTCATTTATATCTGCTCTCATCTCATTATGGTTTTTCATCATTGTTTCTTGCAGCTTCATCATCGATTCCTGTAAAGTAAGCAGAATTGATTGGATGTTGGCATTCGAGATGTTAGCTTGTTTCTCCACTGGTAATGTTTCTTCAATGTTTTTTTGTGCCATGGGCGAAGCTGTTGCCGACGTGGTTGTTAACATCAGGGTGACCTTTCTTCCAGTTTTCAGAGTTGTAGTTGTTGTGGAAGTCATTTCTTTTACGATTTGTTTCTGTTGTTGTAATATATTAATTATATTATCCCAAATTAACATTCAGTAATAGAATCTCTATATTAGGATTGACAGGTATCTAATTACTTTATCTATCTGCTGGATATCTGTACTCTTTGCCAATTTACTAGAATATAAGTTCTTATAGATAAAAATATTATCACCATATTATTTTAAATCCAAATTCTAAATCACATATATAATGTTGTAAGGCCTCAATGCTCATCCTCTATACATAACTTCACATAATAGAAAATATATATAAATATTATATCCAAATCCAACTATATTTAAATATTATAAATAAATATATGTATTATATAACCTTATTTTAAATATTCTTAAACACAAACAGAATTACATTCGCCTCCAAGTGGATTAATTAAATATTTAGAGTGATTGCACAATGAATTGTAATATTAATATATAAGATCCTTTATACTTATTAATTAAATAATACTTAATGTTCTTACTATTTTTCCTATATGTATCTAATCAAAGTATAACTATCACTATTATTAATAAACCAATTAGATCAGTTAATTCAATTATTTAACAATCAATTTTCCTTTCCCTGGTATACATATTTATAAACATTATAAAGAGAGATTAAAAAAGGAGAGCTAGTTCATCATAGCGCCAGAGGGTGGGGGAGTAAAAAAAAAATGAGCAGGTGTATACAGGAAAAAGGGAGTAGGGGAAAAGGAGTTTTAAAGTAAGTTTTTAGCTTTCCGTCTCTAAGTTTTAAGAACTTACACTCCAAATGCACCGGAAGTGGGGAGGTAAGAAATGCTGAGTAGTGACTATAATTACACGGTATCTCCACACATTCGGAAGCTTCCACTTTTACTTTTCATCTTGGCATTCCTAAGTTCAATTTTCCTGATTTTCTTCAGATGAAACCACCTCCTCAGTTGAATCAGTATACTTCCTGAAGGGCAATTAAGTAGTTTACATCAGTTATATTATTACAATAACTTCAGGATTTCTAAATATCAGTGCGGCTGTGGTGCCGCACTGTGTCTATTCCGCTGGCTCCGATCTTCTTCCCGTCTCCGATTTAATAAAGTCTTTCAGCATAAAAATCGAATGAAATAGTCCAAATCCCCCACACCTTCCAGTCACCTTCCAGCCACTAGATTCCCTTCTATTAATATCGGTGTGGTATATCTCCCGACCTCGTAAGCTTCCCTATTTACTCGTTATTGTCCTCTATCTTTCTTCTGTCTGCCAAGCCCCTTCACTTTCACTTGCCTCGCGTCCGCTTTTTGGCCGCTTCTTTTTAGGGCTCCGGACAGACGCTTGTAGCAGCCTTATAAAAGTCTATAGCATTCCAATCATCCTCTCCGTCGCTAATTTTCCCTGCCACACTCTTTACCAATGATCCCACAAACTCACTCACTCGCTTCTTTACATCGGTGGCGGTCCGGACTTCGGAGCCGCCATTGATGGGTGGCTGTTTCTTGCTTGTTGGGCTCTGGAGGGCTCCTCTTCACTGCAGGGGGGTTGCCTTCCCCACTCTACAGCTTGAGTCTCCCCCACACCGGCACGAATCTCTCCAGGACTCGTGCACCCTCAAAGGATCGCACCAACCGCAAAAAGAGATTAACTGACACCACGGGCGGGCTTCTGCACCTCTGTTCGTCATTGCCTTACCACCTCCTAATGATTTTTTTATGCTATGCCTGATGTGGATGAGGAAATGTCACTTAAACTACATTAAGATTCATGGAATTCTGGTCCAAAGGCTGTATGCTCTGAAAGATTAATAAGGCCTGTAGGAAGTAGTGTAGGACAGCTGAGAGAAGATAAATATTAGATAAGAAAATGTATATATGAATTAGAGAAGATAAGAAAATGGACAAAAATGGACAAAAAGGCTGCAATTTTAAATTCTTAACTAAAATTGGGACGGGGAGAGTTCTACTGAAGGAACTCAGGGGCAAGTAGAGATTTTTGGAACTTTGCTGTAGAGCGACTAAAGTCTAGAATTCTTATCCTTCATTTTCATCTGTTTATATGGACTATGTGATTAATGCTATATATTCTAGTCCCACTTTAGGCATAAAAGCCGGCTCAGTGACATTGAGCTAATAACTCTCTCAGCTCAACTCACCTCACAAGGTGGTTGTGGTGGGGAAAATAGGAGGATGAAAGAATATTGGATACTTTTAAGTTGTTTATAAAAATAATAAAGGTGGAATATTAATAAATAATTTCTGCAGAGTGAGAGGGACAATCTAGTGCAGTTCATTCATTGAGATATACTTACTACTGATGACATCAAATCTCTTTCTTTTTTTTATGCATCCCTGTTCTTTCACAATAGCTTAGCTCAGAACCCATACACGATACTTTGCTTGGAATAGAGGTAGCAGTGCTTATTTTTTTTTATTTAAAAACATTTTGAGTGACAGCAGAAGGAGAATTAAAAGCTAAGCATCTCTGTTCTGCTGTATTTGAGTTTATTGAGAATGATCACTAAGATGTTAGAGATTGGTTCATTTCTATGTTATCATATTATCACATAATTACACTAAAACGCAAGTTGGAATTAACCTATAGTGTTTTCTACATGGTAGACAACAAGGGGATGATTAAATCTGCTACTTTTAAAAAATATTTTTAACATATCTTGTTCCAACTTCTTTAAAGACAAGCTGCTGGTCTAAGTTCTAATAGGTGATTTTTGCCATAGAAGTAAAGAGTAAAATTTCAGATGGTGACTCATATATATACAGTAAATATGCTGCAGAAGGCACTGACACTGAGGGGAGGGAAAATAATTTGGCTGTAACTTCTCATATTTGTAGAAATAATAACAAACTAAATTCTTTATCTGGGGTTCTCTGAGTTTTATATTTATTTGCCCTGCAACCTAATTTGCATATTATAGTAATTAATGGTATTTTTTATCTTGGTTTATTCAATAAACTACAATTGCCTAAATCTGAACAACATTCTACGTTATAGATTCTGATTACAGACCATTATGGCTAGATTCACGCAATATACTAACCTATTATGATTTTTTTTTTGTTTTAGTTTCATATGATTTGTGAACCCAGCCTATAAGAACAGTTGTCTCCCTCAGTCTAACAGTCTGATTCATTTGATTTTTATTCTTTTCCCTGATCCAGGAACACATCAGTTTGTCGACATCAGGGGTCTTCAAACTTAGCAACTTTAAGACTTGTGGACTTCAACTCCCAGAATTCCCTAGACAGCATGGCTGGTTGAGGAATTCTGGAAGATGAAGTCCACAAGTCCTAAAGTTGCCAAGTTTGGAGCCCCCTGGTCTACACGCCCCAGAGCTTCTTTGGTACATTTACATTGTTGAAATAAAAACTATATGGAGATGCCTTTGTCTTTGTGGTTGTAAACCTCAAGTCACTTTGTATCCTCCTGCTACTCTTTTCAGGTGGAGCTGTCCCTCCTACGGCACTGTTATCATCAGCTGGCCTCTCAAATCAATGTGCTGCTTCTGGAGAGACTCTGGTATGTGATGCTGGAGCAGTTCCTTATGAAGTATGTGTGGAGTGCTGCTGGGCTGGTCATGGTGGCTGTACCGATCATCACTGCTACTGGCTACTCTGAAACAGGTGAGGATGGGAGAAAGAAGCAAAACTTCTGCTCTTATGGGGGGCAACATGGCCCAAAATAATAAAATGGACATTTAAGCTCATATGTTAACAGGCAGGAGCTAGAAGAGGATCAATATGGAATCATTAGGGATGCTTTCAAGACGATGGCTGAAACGCTACTTGCTAATTCACTGGAAGGCTTAGTGAGGTCAGAATAGCCCAGGGCAACTTCTCATTGGCTCATGTCTAGAGGTCCCATATAGGCCATTTCCACACTAGTGATTGATGATGTTATCCAACCATTCCTCTGTCTGTATATCATGAGGACAATGGCTGGGTGATGTAGAGATATGGATTCATAGTGGGCACAAGTGCCTGGAGCATCGTGTCAGTTAGCTCCTTAAAGCTAACGTGCTTTTTTCCCCTCTATGATTGTATGGTGCATGATCCCAAGTAAAGACATACTTGTTTAAAGGAATTGCTATGTGCACTTTATTTATTTATTTTTTATTTATTTATTTAATTTATATTGCTGCCTATTCGCCCATGGCAACTCGAGGCGGCTTACACAATGTAAAACCATATTTAAAACAAAAAAAATAAAAATTAAAAAAACAATAAAAAGTAACAAAAAGAATCAAATAAATGAGTAAAGTACAATAAAACAAAATTTGGGGGGAAAAAACCAATTCCCACCCCCCGCCCCGACAACAGCAGATCACACTAGCCATTTGATGGGCTCCATCCCTCTCTGGGTTCCCCAGGCCCATTGGCAAAACCAGGTCTTCAGTGCCTTTCAGAAGAGTGCTGGAGTGGGGGCCATTCTAGTCTCTGGGGGAATGATATTCCAGAGAGAGGGAGCCACCACAGAGAAGGCCTTTCTTCTGGGTCCCACCAGGTGTATCTCCCTCAGGAAGGGGACCCTCAGCATTCCCTGCCTCCTCGCTCTAATGGGTCAGGTAGATGTGACTGGCAAGAGACATTCCCTCAGATAACCCGGTCCCAAGCCATGAAGGGCTTTAAAGGTGACAACCAGCACTTTGAATTTCACCCGGAAGCAAATTGGCAACCAATGCAGCTCCTGCAGGAGAGGTGAAACATGTGCACACCGGGATCTGCACAAAAACCATGCGGGCCGCTGCATTTTGCACCAACTGGAGCTTCCGGATGCTCTTCAAGGATTTATACATGTTCTCCAGTTCACACTTTCCCCTTCAGATCCAGATGTCTAGAATCACTAATATAGAAATAGTGACAAGAAAATGCAACCAAGCACAGAAAGATGCACTTATGGTAGTAGAAAACTGAACAGATAGGAGAGAACTGCAACAGCCAGTGGTTTTATTATGCAATGCCTGAGAGCAAAAACAAGTTGTCTGAACACTGAAGTCTTGAAATACCACAATATTTTCAAGGTTGGAATAAATATTTCACAAGTACCAAATATTTGGCCTGGGAGCATATTTATCTATGCTTGCTTGTTTTCACTTGTAGCCTTGTTCTTGGTGCTGTTCCACAGTAACCACTTGCTCAGAACTCCAATTTGACAGGTAGTGGAAAGGAAGAGGTAACCCTATAAGAAGTGGGCAGCAAGACTCCAGGTGACCACTACATGGCAGCAGAGAGTTTTCTGTATCTCTTTCCTTAATTGGGTAGCCATTGTAAAGGAGCAAGAGGAAAAACAGGCACGAGCGTTGGGATAAGGGAGTCAAGCTTTCCCACTGGTTCTCCGCCAGTTCCCAAATAGCTTGGTTTTCCATTAAAAGCCTAAAATCATTGGTTCTTCCCCTGTTGATGGTTCCCTCTAGCAGTTTGTATAAGTACAATTACCTCTTTTACAGGTAGTCCTTGAATTAGAGCCAAAATGGAGCCTGCCCAGTACGGTTGGAGCCAGGAAGGCTGTTAAGTGAACTACCTCCCTTAATGAACACCCCCCACACACACACACCCCAATCACTGCTGTTCCTGATGCATTTGTTAAATGAACATACATTAAACACACAGGTTGTTAAGTGGAGCATGGGGAGCCTCACGGATGGGGGAGAGCCTGGGGGCAGGGCTGGTGCAGGCAAAAGTCCACCTGCCTCAGATCCCCCAAGGCCTCCCCCCACCTTCTGAGAGACCCCATTCTCTGCTTCCCACCCCTTGGGGTCCTCACAGCTGCTTGGGCCTCCTCCTCACACTTTGTCACCTATAGTTCACTTACCTTTCAAAGATCTCCAGAGCTCAGGAGATCTGGGTAAGGAAAGAGTACTATAGGCCGCACCATTCCTGGGCCACATGACACAATCCCACAAGCAGCCATCTTCAGCGGACATAACTTCAGGATTGGGTCATAAATACCTTTTAGAGGGGGTCTGTCATAACTTTGAAGTGTGGCCAGTCTTAAGTCAAGGACTACCAGTATTAACTTCGCTCATGTAACTTTTTCACCTGCTAGTTGTCCCAAATGCATGTCAGGAAAATGATTAAACTGTGTAAAATCTTTCTTCACACTTCAGTGTTTACATCTAATGCCACAGATATTTGAAGGATTAAGGGAAATCTAAATAATGAATAGGTATCTTCCTCATGAAGCTTTATTACAGAAGCATTTTAAGGCAGTATTTGGAGTAATAGTATTTGATTAATAGTTTCGGGGAGGAATGCCTTTTTTTTTTTAAATCTGGACCCATCACAGGAGGGTTCTCAGGGTGGTATTTTCAACAGGTGCCCGACGGCATAATAAGTGACCTCAGACTGGGGTTTCAAGGAAAGTGATTCCTAATAAGAAAATGGGATTCTAGGCAGTAGAAGTCAGTGGAGAAATTGAGATAAGTGTTCCAGCCTTTCTCCCCTGTCACAATTTTGTTCCGCCAGATTCAGAGGTGGTGAAACAAGCTGCACTAGAAATGGAAGAGCAAGAACTGGTAAGCTTGAGGACTGAGGCTTTTACCACAGCACGGAGTCTGTTGTCTGCAGCAGCTGATGCCACGGAGAGGGTCATCTCTTCCTACAAAGAGGTACAGATGCTCAGTTGCCTGGGGAAGAATTGGGTCAGTCTGATCCTCCGATAAAGGACGTAAATAAGGATGTAAAGCCTCTATGTCTTTATAATCTCCTGAGATACAATTCTAAAAGGTGCATACTCCCTAAATTCATGACCTGCGTTCAGGCAGGGCTTCAGTCTTGCAAGTTCTGAGAGCAGAAAGGCCACCATACCTTGCACTGAAAGGCCTTTGACCTTGCACTGCTAATATTTCATAAGATCAGTTTTCATCTGTTACTTAGACAAACAGACTGAATCCTGCCCTCCTTTATGCTCCTCTCTTCAGAATAAGTCCCATTTTACTAGTATAAGTAAATATAGTATTAGTTTCTGAGTATACATTCACAGGATCCGGGTAGATCTTTCTTACCTTCTCTATGGCTATCAGATCAGGTTGCAAAAATCTGGATGGTCATTAGGTAACAATAAAAAGATACAGAAGCCTATCTTTGCTACCATCTAGTGCAGGGGTGTCCAACCTTGGCAACTTTAAGACTTGTGGACTTCAACTCCCAGAATTCCTCAGCCAGCTTTGGCTGAGGAATTCTGGGAGTTGAAGTCCACAAGTCTTAAAGTTGCCAAGGTTGGACACCCCTGATCTAGTGGTTATCTGGATTTTCACCCCAGATCTAACAATCAGGCCAACATTGGCCATGTTCATACATTATGCTAGCACCAAAGCCTATACACATCATTGTGGCTTAATATCAAGCCATCTCTCAGGCTTATCAACAAGGGTGGGATTCAAATTTTTAAACAACCAGCTCTGTGGGCGTGGCTTGGTGGGTGTGGTCATGTGGCTGGGTGGGCGTGGCTATGCAATTGTGACAGGGTGGGTCAAAAGAGAGAAACTCACTTTAACAATGCTCTTAGAGCAGGGGGTTGGACTAGGTGACCTCCAAGGTCCCTTCCAGCCCTAGATTGCTGTGCTGTTTCAAAGCATCCTCTGCAAGCTGCATCTAGCGCCAGGGTTTGTGGTCCATCCTTCCTTCCTCTCCTTTTTCTCTCCCTCCTTCCCTCTATCCCTCCTTCCCTCTATCCATCCATCCATATCTTATTCACTTTCACTTTCCTCTTTCTCCCTTCCCTCCTTTTCTTTCTTTCTCTCTTTCCTCCCTTTCTTTCTCCCATCCCTCCCTCTTTCTTTCTTTCTTTCTCTTTCTTCCTTTTAAGAGAAGGAAGGAAGGAAGGAAGGAAGGAAGGAAGGAAGGAAGGAAGGAAGGAA